ATCAAAGTTCCCATGTCCACAGATTGTCCTTCTGGACCATGTATTCATGCAGTGACTGTCATGCTTCCGGCATGCAACAGTTATGCTACAGGAATGCAATAGTTCAATAATGTCATATTCTTCTTCTTTCGAAGGAATGAACCTTTTAAGTCTGAGGGTCTGCCACGCTTCAGGCGTGCAACAGATAAATCATTTGCTGCCATATTATTTTGTCCAACAGGAACATCAATTCTTATAGGCATATTTGCAGCAAGTATATATGATTTCATCACTTTCGTTGCATCATTCAATTATTCTTGCTTCATTTCTAATTGATTGCTTCATGAATCAAAATAAGACAAATTCTCTTTGTTCTTCTAGAACGGGCTTTTCTCATCATTCTTTTGGAATGATATTTTCTCATTGTTCTTCTAGAACAATATTTTCTCCCCCTAACGGCGGGAAAATTGTCTTATCAAAATGACAGCCCGCAAACCATGCGGTAAACATATCCCCAGTCAAGGGTTCTAAGTATTGAATGATAAATGGTGAATCAAATCCAACATAAATTCCCAGTTTGTGTTGATGCCTCATTTTAATATATTGTGGCAGTGCAATAGGCACATAGATAACATAACAAAAAACTCGTAAATGTGTAACATTTGGCTGATGCCGAAACACGAGTTGTACTGAGAAATATTGATGGTTGACAACTGGTCTCAACCGAACTTAATAATGAATTATTTAAAATGGCATGTCCCCATCTTGCAATTTCTTTTTCATGAGCAAAGCACGAGTAATCAACTTCATCTGCTTAATAAATGTTTCTGCTAAACCATTTTGAGTATGGATATGAGGAACATGGTGTTCAACATCAATGCCTAATGACATGCAATAATCATCAAAACTTTGAGATGTAAACTCTCTAGCAAATATGCATTATATTATCATTTACATACATCAAGGAACTTCTGGTCCTTGGATTGGGACTCTCATGGCCTTTATTACAATTAAGTTGTGGCACTTCGGCTCTTCAAACTTAAGGTACTCATCAAGGAACTTCATGTTCGATCTTGAGGATCTAGGGACTTCATGCTTGATCTTTTTGCATGATGGAACTTCGGGTCCAATCATTTTATGTGATGAGTATCAATAAACTTCAGGTTCTTATCTGATCAAGGAACTTCGGGTTTAGTATGTACTCATCGTAACAAAAAAAAGTACAATAAATAAATTAAAGCAATAGGCGGTAATTCTGGCCATGGTAAATAAATTGCTTTTAAGTAAATAAAGCGTGTGACAAGGGCTTTGATTCAGCACCATTCACATAAATATCAAAGCTTTAAAGCAAAGGGTAATAATTCTACCTACTGTAAATAAATTGCTTTAAATAAATAGAACTTGTGAAAGGATTTTAAACCAACACCATTCACATAAATAAATAGTATCATAACCTTTTATTTTGCCACTTCCTTTTGTCCCTTTTATTTTGTTAATTAATGTTTTTTCTTTCTGTCGGCACCAAGCTTCAAAACCTTTTCTTTTCTCACATGTTGCACAATTCCAAAAAAAAAACTTTGCTTTTTGTTTTCTTTCACATGGTGCAACATACATTTTCAAAGCTTTGGTCCCATTTCCCTTTTTATTTCAGTTTTCATTTCACAACAACAATAAGTTCTTTTAGTTACTCATGAAGTAAAAGTAACAATAAGTTCCAATTGGTGTTCCTCCTCCGGTGAGTTTCGAAAAAGTCGAAAAGGTTCCCATAAGTTTTGGAGTCAAGAGTGTCTACAACTTATGAGAAGATCAAACTGTTAGATTTAGTTCAAATTTTAGTATGATATGGTTAAGAGGATACCGAACAACTTTCCTGAAGAAACAATTTCGATCTGAGCTATCGAAATGGAGTTTTGGTACTCATAAGGTGGCTGTCCAGTTTTCTGCGGAAATTGGAAATTGGTTTGGTATTTCAAACATCTGTGACGATCGCACCGTTAAAGTTTTCTGAAAATTTGATATGTTGTAGTTACTGAGCGGACGAACAACTTTCAAGAAAAAAGTATTTCAATCCGAGGTCCGCAAGTTGGAGTTTCGAGGCTGTTTACATGGCTGTCAAATTCTCTACGAATTTTGAGTCTGTACTCTTTTACTTCTACAAAGGATGATATACAGTCATACAACAGTATATATAGTTGCTTCAAGAAAATCAATTGTACTGAGATTTGAAGATGAAATGAAAAGATTTTCTTATCTGTGAGATTCCAGCTGAAGGAGGTGAACATGGTTTGTGGTGTTGTGCTTTCCACTGGCACGAGAGCTTCTCATGCTGATAATGTGTAAAATTGACGGTGTGTGCAGTGGAATAAATAAACAAGACACAAAATTTGTGAGGTTCCTCTACAGTTAGTGTGATTGGAGTACATCTTCGGGGCAACAATGATGCTTTCATTATAATATGAAATAATAAGACTACAAAAATAACTCTTTCTATTATCTCCTCTACTCTTCCTCTCTTTTCTCTCTTCCTCTTCCTTGAGTCTCTCACTTCTTTCTCTCTTCTTCACATGCTTTCCTTTTATAGGAAAAGTTACTGTAGCAACACTATTCACTTTAAAAAATTTCCACAAATGAATAGTGAAAATATTGTGCATAAATAGTAACAAACTATTTATGTGGCTCATCCACATATTTTTCACAACATAACATAGATTATAGGTCTCTAAACATAATTGTAGAAATTACTACTGTTTATATTCCTCTATCAATAACAGAGAAAGGTATTGTGGCAAACATATTCTTTTTCCTTTTTACACTGGAAGAACAACAAAGCATTCTTTAGAACTCGCTTTTCCTTCGGGATGCTTTGGGCCTAGTCCATACTAACTCAGAAACGGGGAACGTGAAGGTTTTAGCTCATCTCTTTACAACACAAGCCCATCAAAGCTTTCGACACAAAAACCCGCCAACACTCATTAAAGTCAAAAGGAAAATGTTATACACAAATAAAACTGTAATTTACATAGGAAAAACGAACTACTTAAATGTAATGCGTAAGATGCTTAAAGCAAGTCCACCCCTAAAGACTTTACGCCAGCACTCAGCGCATTTATCCACTCAAGTGAACAGTGATAGACCACAAGGAACAGTAATAGGCCAATGCATCTCCATCCCTAAAAAAATAGCCTAGTCAATTTTATTAAAAAATTATTTTTTTATTATAAAATAATAAAAAAATATTTTTATTTTTAATTTCTGACTTTATAAAAAAATATATTATTATTATTAAAATATTTTTATTTTCTCATCTTCCACACCTCCTTTCCCTTCCATTTCTGCACGCCATCCACCCCTATACTTCCTACATCTCATGCATCTCCTCACCTCTTGCATCTCCACATCTCAACAACTAGCTCCTCTACAGCATCTCCACACCTTTTGTCCTTCAACTCCATCGATTCGTCCTCCTGCATCTCCACACCTTCGACGCCGTCACTTCGTCCTCCCGTCGTTCTCCCTCCGTGGTTCATTCCCTTTCGACATCCTCTCCCGCCTCGACCAGCTCCGCTCCTCAGCCTCCACAACAACTCCCTCTCTGGCGTCCTCCGACGCCACGCTGACGTCAGATAGGCCGGTCCCAAGGTCTGTCGATTTTAGGCCGGCCTGTGGACTGGCTTAGGCTAGGTGCCAGCCTGATTTTTTGACTGGGTGCCGGGCTATTCCACCTCCGGTGGAACTGCTCTTATGTCTTATCCTAATACTACATGACAAACCCACGCGTTGCGTTAGATTTCATATACCAACATATATATCATTCATCTCCCTACCTTTCTCTAATAAAGTACCTTACCTTTTCATTGCTCCCCGCCGATTCAAAGGTGGAGAAATTTTTCCAGATTCAAGGTCCATTAGCTGACCTGGAGTTCCACCAACCTTAAATTGACACCTATACATATTTTAACACCAACCCACCATTTGAAGATAAAAAAAAAAATCATATTGGGGCTTGGACCCACTCCTTCCTACCTATCTCCCTTCTTCGGGAAACTGAAAGGCTTTTTATGAATTCAACACCAGCCAGCCTTCTCTCTTCCTCTCCCTTTGCCGTCTCCATGCACACCGGCAACCAAGCAATCTCCGATGAAAACATCCAAGATTTTTTCATTTACATTATTCAAAATTATAACTCAACAATTAATTTCAAAATTATGCCATCTCTTTTAAAATCATATTTCAGTTGGGAAAGACTATAGAAGAAGATGGTATCAAATTCATATTTTAGTTGGGAGATAAAGACTGGAGTTTCAGGTGGGTGCTCTTAGTGGTGGGCATGATGTAGTTGTTGGGTGGAAGGCATCAACATCGAGTGGGTGATCTTGGTGCTGGCAGTAGCGGACGTTCGGATGTAGGTGGTGGTGACGCTTTGGTCGGAGATTGCTTGGTTGCTGGTGTGCATAGAGATGGAGGGGAAGAGAGAACGTCGGTGCTGTAGTGATGAAAGGCCTTTCCTGAAGAAGGGAGAGAGGAAGAAGAGACTAGAGGGGCCCAAACCCCAATATGTTTTATTTTTTTAATTATTAAACGGCATGTTCTGTAAAAAATGTTTCCAAGTATCAAATCATAATGGGTGGAACTTCACGTCAGCTAATGAGCCGGACGGTGGAAAAATTTCTCTCAAAGGTGGTCCTATATGTTGAAGTTCTCTCTACTAGTACAAGAACATTTTCATCTTCTTTACTGTCTCTTCGTCATACCAACTCTCTCTCTGTCTCTCTCTCTCCGTACACAGGCTCTACTTTTTGTTATTATAAAAGGAGTCAAGGACCATCCCTAGCTCCTTCGAAATGCAACTACAAATTGGCACCCACTTACAAAGTGAGAGACTCAGTGAAGAGCTAGCTCTCTCTGAACTTCTCACAAACCGATCACAATGAAGCTTTCTATCAGACCCTTCTCACACAAGGCAATAATCACCTCACGCACCCTCACTCAATTACCAACTCTAAACCCCAATCACATGACCTTGACTCACAACCTTCCCAACTGGCAGCAATTGCTCAACCCAGTTGACATTAGCTCCCTAGCACTCACCCCTGTCACCCCCATAACCACCAACCCCACCGCCGGTAAACAACCCGTTCGCAAAAGTTGGATGGATTACCAAGGCTTCAACAACTGGGAAAACCTTCTCGACCCTCTAGACGACAATTTACGGGGTGAGATTATCCGGTATGGTCAGTTTGTCGATGCCGCATACAAGGCATTTGAATTTGATCCAGATTCCAATTTTTACGCAACATGCAAGTACTCGAAAGCCTCATTGTTTGAAAAATCCGCGCTTCCGGGAACTGGCTACAGGATTACAAAAAATTTACGTGCCACGTCGGAATCCAGCTTCCAAGCTGGATAGAAAAGGCGCCGAGCTGGGTCGCAACACAGTCCAGCTGGATTGGCTACATGGCGGTCTGTCAAGACAAGGAGGAAATTGCAAGGCTTGGAAGACGGGACGTAGTGATTGCCTTTAGAGGGACCGCCACGTGTTTGGAGTGGCTCGAAAATCTTCGAGCCACTCTCACCCAACTTCCGTCCAGCCCTAAGGACAACTGTGAACCAATGGTCGAAAGTGGATTTTTGAGCTTATACACTTCAGGAACCGACTTAATCCCAAGCTTGCAACAAATATTACGCCAAGAGATTGCGCGGTTGCTTCAATCCTACGGCAACGAGCCTCTCAGCATAACATTCACCGGGCACAGCCTCGGCGCCGCGCTTGCAACGCTCGCAGCGTACGACATAAAAACTACGTTTAACCGGTCGCCGCTAGTCACCGTCTTTTCGTTTGCCGGGCCACGTGTAGGAAACAGTAGCTTCCGCCGGAACTTGGACAAGAAAGGCCCAAAAGTTTTACGCATTGTGAACTCCGACGATGTAATAACTAAAGTACCTGGTTTCGTAGTCAATGACAATGAACGGCGCCACTTGGCATGCGACAGCGGGTTCCGAAAGGCGGTGGAGTTCCAGAACTGGATCCACCAGAAGGTGGAGGACACGCAGTTGTCGTACGCGGAGGTTGGGAAGGAACTCAGGTTAAGTAGCAAGGACTCGCCGTACCTGATGGGCACCAACGTGTCAACGTGTCACGAGCTCAGCACGTACCTCCACCTCGTCGACAATTTCCAGAGTTCAAAATGTCCGTTCAAAGCCACGGCCAAGAGAATATTCAGCAAAAAACAGTAATTAACAAAAGCAACCCGTAGAGAGTAGCCACTAACGACATCGTTTCGTCCATCTCATTTGTGCATATCAACGTAATTTTTCCCCGCCAAATCTTGGAGGAGAGGGGTCTCAATTATTTGTAATCACTAAACGAGATAAATTAACTAATTAATGACGGGTTTTTGTTTGACTATTCTAAGTGGAAGTGAAAGCGAGATTATTGACTCGCTCAATAATATCACGTTGTTATGTTTGACTAGTAGAGCATAGTTTGAGATACACTTACAGTAACATGTCGTTGCTACGTTTGATTTGTAAAGCAGTCTGAAGTAGCTACCGAACCATTTTCTTTTCCTTATGCTTTTATTCTCTCCCCAAAAACATGCAGCAATACAGCATTTGAGCAATCACAGATTCACAGCAGAGGCAGGTGGGGTTCTTTTTATACGTAAACCACCGGGGCCCGTGTTTTCGTAAGAGCGTGACTAAAACCCTAAAAAGGCCAATATTGTCTGTTTCTTATTGGAGGGGTCTCAGAAGCCACAAGTATCCTTGGCACCGACACATTATTACGCATTGCGGTTTCCGTTTGACTGCACCGACTTGGGACGTGGCACGTCCTGCTACTCTGTTGGCAGCAGGGGTAGCGCCGTCCATACCCAACACTTCCTCAGTCGGTTTAAGCGAAAATGACCGGAGTAACCGTCGGCGCCAATTTTAACTGCTTCGGAGCTAAAGCTTTTCAACGCACCAACATAAAATTGTGGTCATACTTGTGTATATATATGACAATAAACTTCATAACTTTTTTATTTGGATTGTTGTGTTTCTGTTAAGGACTTGGTTAGGAAGAAAGATAAGGGATGACATAAGTGATGAGAAACAAGAAAAGAAAACGAATAATTGATACATAGGATTAAATAACAAACCAGTTTCAATAACATATATGTAGGATTTATATAATAATTAGATATATAAAATACATATTAGTCCATCCAATATGGGTGTTATATATATAAGTGTGTGTGTGTGTGTTCTTTGTCCCACATCAACCGTTTCATTTTCTCCTTCCATACTAGCCACTATATAAGACTTTGTGAAAGGGAAAAGACACACCAACAAAAGACATCAACTGTTTCATTTTCTCCTTCCCTACTAGCCACTATATAAAGAGACTTTGTGGAGAGGAAAATATCTTCACTCTTCTAGTAATCTTTCTCTCTCTTAGTTTACCCTCTATGGTATCACCTTTGACCCTAGTATAAAAAAGCTAATAAGAACTATGGCAGTTTGATGTTTGTGCATTGGCACAAGGTACTTAGGCAATCTAGCTGGGTTAGATGCAACCGAATCCTCAATTTTGTGATGCTCTTGTTCGTGGTTCGTGAAACGAGTTGTAAGAACGTGACCCACCGTGGAAGATTGCTTGAGCTATTCACGTTTTTATTCCTTTGAAATTTCTAGATTTTGTTGCTTGGTATATGTTCTTCATGGTTATATGAACTTGTGTATGAACTTTGGTGAAAAAATTCCAACCCGTTTGCTAGAAAAGGTTTGTTTGGAGAAAAATGTGATTCTTTTCAAGTTTTGTGACCCCCTTTTCGTGCTGTTAGAGTCAGTTTTTGTAATTTGACCTTTCCAACGACATAAGATATCATCAAACACGAGTGAGATATGGTCTCAAAAAGTTGACATCACAAAATCGATAATCTTGGATGTCCAGATTTCTTGGAGGAAGATAAAAGTGATTCATGATTTCACTCTTGGCCTCACCGTTGTATCTCTAACGATTTTGGGCATGTTTATCTACACTATTGGATTTGTCTTTGGGAGATGAATCGAATGGCGGAGGGGGTGTCAACGAACAACCAAAGGCTGGCGCGTAACTTGCACGCAACAATGGAAACTAGATGTCAACGAGCGGCACATAATTGAAATTGGACAATTTGATTCGTCCGTAGTAGGGTCCATTGAAGAAAGGATCATATATTTTTTGTGAGTATTCTTTTTTAGTCTTATCAGTACACAATCTAGTTCTTTTCTCGAGTACATTCATGTACCAGAGCCTTGTAAATATTAGACATCTTGCCCAGTGGGAAAGCTACATCCAGTACTTGACCAATGATTTGAGCGATATGCCCCAAGTTTTTTTTTAAGTGCGGGAACACATATTTAGATCGGTTCTCAACCATAGATATAGAACAAGAGCCAGCTGAAGGTGAATTCATGGCCCTTGTGTGTGACTTCCACGATCTATCTTCTTGTTTTGTGAGTTCTTTCCTTCACGGTTTTGCTCCCATTCTTTTCAATCTTGTAATAGTCTGTGCCTTGAATCAAATCATTTTAGAACGACTTTGGTACTCAAGATCAAATAAAATGCGATTTCAGTAATGACAATATAATTTGTTTTGTTCAATAAGCAAGTCAATTCCTTTTTGCCTTATTTGTCTCTACTTGAAACTCTGAATCATTCTTTTGAAGCCCATCCTCTTCATCATAAGTGATCCACTTGCCATGAAATGACTTGACCCAATAGGGAAATCCCAATTCATTGGGCCTTTCAATGCAATCAAATAGAAAACCCCCAATGCGCCATATTCTAGGAGCCCAAACGAACATTTTTGAAAATATTAGGTTATAAATTATTGGATGAATTCTTGACAGAAGAAAAACATATTCTTTCTTTAATCTTCCCAAGAGCTTCGACCAACCGCGGCCTAAAAAAAGGAAAATACGAGAAAAAGTAGAGGTGCTTCTCCTTGCTCTCCCTATGACGACTTTAACTCTCGGCTCCCTTCGCAAGGGAATAGAATCCCCTCCCCTCCCCTTCCCTCCCCTCCTTTTACACTTTCTTTTTTTCTCTATATAAAGAATTCAACAAAAAATGTTGATGTGATTTAATCTTAACTGTTACAAGAGTAGGGGAGGAAGGAGAAAGATTAGGAGAATCCTACTCCCTCTACAAGTTACGGTTTTACAAAGTCCGATGTTTTGCCCTCGATTTCTTAACTTTCTTAACTTTCTTAAACTTTATTTTCATATCACTCTTCAACCTATAAGTTTATTTTATTTTATTTTCATTTAGAACTACAACTGTGCTTTTAGTGAAATTATACAAGCCCTAAAATCTCAGGGGGGACCTGAGAGGAAATTTCGGAAAAAAGACCTTCTAGGTCCCCTTATTTTAAAACTCTCAGAGTTCTGCCTCTTCTATGTGTGAAAATCTTAATAAGCCTAATTGCATTAAAATCTTTTGCCTAGTTTCCATTGCTCAAGACGCACCTCCAGAATAACTAGAGCCCCCGGCCCTCCAGAATAACTTAGTGCTTCTCGAGCCATCTCTCTGTCTCGAGTGTCATATGTTCTTCTTGGCAATATTATTCGAGAGGCGTCAATATGAGCTCGTGCTGTTCTCGGCGGAGGCTCGAGTTGTTCCCCAAGGGGTGTCTCGGGCAATGGGGACTAAACAAAAGGTTTGAATGCACAGAATTTGCTGTATATACCACACAGTTATCTTACTCAAGCTTTGCCAAATAAACAAGGGACCCAATAAACAATTAAAAGCCATGAATAATCATTCGTTTGAAACACTTGCTAAAAGAGCATATCAAGGCACGGTGTTCGCTCTCTAAATCCGCCATGGGGCCTCGCGGGCATGCCGGGGATTTGCTCACATACGAGATTGGTAGGGTGCGGGCGTGCCACTACTAGATGCCGCTAGTAGACGGGATTTGAATGATTGAGGTTGTGCCTGAGTTTGACTTCGAACCAAGAGATTGTGCCATTGAGTAGGAGTTACTCAAATCAAAGTTCTTTCTTTGCCTTAAAAATAAGGACTTTACTTATATGGAGAAATAGAATAATATGTAAATGACAAGGTTGCTTGGAAATGTAAATGACAGAGGAAAGTGACTAATATTGCAGATTGCTTGTAATTTATATGATGGAAATGAGTACATAAAAGCTACAAATGAAATCGATACTACAAGTGAGTAGCAGAGCTAATAAACAAGAAAAGCAAAGGATGCTTGGCTAAAAATAAATGTCTACAAGGAAGCTGATGAGCTAATTTGAGTAGAGTTTTGATTGGTTGTTTTGAGTGTTCCTAATCCTTGTGCTCCTGCTCCTTTATATAGAGGTTTGGAAGAAACCCCCTGTTGAGGTTTTGTACTTGCTCGAAAGAAGCTTGGGCAGCTTGCATTTCCTTACTTGGGTAGCTTGCATTGCTTTTGCCAACTTGCATGTAGAAACAATATTAAAAGGGGAACTTGTATTTCCACCACATGTTTTCATCACATGTTTTCCCACTTGTAATAAACTAACAATTAAAAGAAGCAAGTTGGCTTCTTTCACATATTCTTGCCCGAAAGCATGCATGGTGACTTTCCATCCACTTGCATGAAAAAGCATGCACTTTATCTTTGATTAAACAACTCTCTTGGTAAATCTCCACCACCAAAACAAATTGGAAGAACAATATTATAATGTCAAACCCCTCCACTTGCATCTAAATATCTTTCCAAGTTAGCTTTCTTGCATATTAATCCTCCAAATGCCATATTTTACCCAAATTGCCCAAATAAGTAAAAATGGGTATATTTTGAGTGCAAACACACGGAAAATGAAAACAGAAACTAGTGCTGTTTCTTATTATGTATAATTAATCGACGCTACGGGATATTTAATTTATCACTTGAAATCAAATGAGAGCATTCTGACAGGCCGTGATTCGCCGTTCCCAAGAGGAATGACTTAACTATAAATCTCAATTAACAATTTTCTCTACAAGTTTACGGATTTTCTTCATAACGGAACAACACATATTTTGTAACCGGAATAAAAAGGACAACATACATTTCGTAATCACTTGAAGAATTAGAAGGATATACAATTGGACGTTACCTGCGCTTACTTAGATGATTAATATCCTTGAGTTGAGCTTTTAACAGAGCATGTTCATGCTGCATACTCTCCAGCCGAGTCTCAACCAAGCGCATCTCATCTTTTAGGTGGTGGATTCG